CTCTGGTGCCGTCTAAGAATTCGGTCTCGCATTCCTGCTCCATTTTGATAACTCAAGACACTCTCCTCTGAAATTGAATTTTCTGTCGTCACCACGTTGTGATCAATTTTATTTGTCGGATTTATTCGGGATCAACCAGCCCCAAGTGATGATGCTCACGCTACATTTACTTTCTATATAAGAAAAGAATTATCAATGATACTGAAAATGCAGCACGTCAGAAAAAGCCCCGTACACGTGTGACTTATCTGCCTTGGGGATTGCTTCACTTCCCTAAGTAAGCAGTACCAGTAACAGTACCAGAGGAAAGGAATACGATTTGTTATTGAATTTGTAGGACTGGGTAGGGAGTAGTGCCAGCGTTGCTTCTTTGGAAAGTAGGCAGTTTTAGCAGTTCAGAAAGATTTGACTCGTTTCCCTCCTGCAATTCGACCGTGTTTGGAGAAATATCAGGCCTAATAAGGAAGTAAAATCAGGGGTTGGATGAAATGTAACGAAAAAAGCTGCATGGAAGGGGTATTTGGACGAGCTGTTCAAATGCGCGCAATTGTATACAGCTGACTGCAATAAGGTGCCTGCCTGCAACGTGTGGGTCCCGGTGCGAATGGTGCAAGTTCTACAGTTTTTACAACGCTCAAGAACACGTCCGTCTCGGCTGTGTACCTCGGTAAAGCCGGTTATATGGCCTATCACGCTTTATCTTGGCCGCCTTTCGACCCAACAGTGTCCCTCTGACCATCCCTGGTGGTCACAACTCCAAAACGTGATTCTATTTTTTTTCGAATTTTCTAGAACAATTACTAACGCTAATTGCTGGCAAAAAAGTTAAAGCCCTTTTTTAACTACTTTGACAGCTTGCTTGAAAAGTTCTTGCATCTCATAGTACACAAACAGAGTTTTTTCCGAAAATGCCCTGAAATCCAATCGTTGTCTGGCAAACTTTTTCATGTGAAGCCTTGGAACGAATCCCAAAGGAAGGACTAGGCGCCGTTTTTCAAGATGGCATGAGGAAGCGGCTCCGGCGGGCTCTCACTCTCGCACTCTGTCGTTTTGTTTCTTCTAATGATGTTCGCCAACAACTAGACCAGTCAATTCCATTACCCTCTTTCATCTCCTGCCCCGCCGTCAATGAGGGTCAATGTACCCGCTTCTTCCTCGAACCAAACTGGCTTTACCTGTTACCTCTAGGATCTCTCCTTGATCAGGTGAAAAGCAAACGGCTCTTTCCTTCTCCCTCTAGAAGCAGCTAATATTAAAATGGTGGAGTTAAAAAGGACTACGACGGCGATGGAGTTCCGGCTGTTCTGAAGGGGATCCGATCTATTGAAGGGTGACGGGACCTAGCTCACCCAGCTACTGCTACCTCAATCGAACGATACCAGAGGACTTCATACTTCCTTCCGGTGAATCGACAGTTGATATAAAAATAGTTAAGTGGACATTTTACTCAACATAGTTAATGCTGTACTCCTTTGCAAGTTCATCATTGTCCTGATGAATTCGGTGCTATGTACGTCTCGCTGTCAAAAGTAAGTAATCCCGTTTTCTCGAACTCCCAACAGCCCTAACATTCTCAGTCATTCCTTGACTCTCGTTGTATTGGTAAAAACCTTGGAATTTACTAGTAACTGCAGTAATGATCTCGGTAAGCCTTCTGTTTTTTGTTGTTGTTTTTATCAACGCTACAGCACTGCAGCTAGTGTCTTGAATCAGGCATCTCATGAAAGTTTAATAAGCCAGATTCAACTTACTGCTACGTAATGATAATGAGTTATACTAGTCCGAAATAGTCTGAAGGCATGAACAAATCGTTAGGAGATTTAACGGTTGACCCTATTGATTGAGCTATTTGCTATGGTCAAGTTCATGATGATTCAACCACAACTTGTATTTATTACTTTGACTTTACTTTTGTAGTTACTTCAGTTATACTCTGTTACTCTTGTTTGTGTTGTGTATTCTGTTAGATGGAAAGTTGCATAGAGCTGAATGCAATTACACATGACAAGCTGTGTTCACCTTTTTCATTTCGACTGATAGCTGACATGTGTCACCGCAACATAACCCATCTCGTTCGTTTTTCCCCTATCCCTTCATCCTCCTCTCAGTTATCATCGTCTACTACTACATCTAGCCCTCTCCGAACCTTTAGACCGCTTNCTCAGCCCTATGATGAGCCGTTCGCTTTCTTTACCCCAGCATTCTCAGTTTTGCGGTGGCCTTTGTTCTGTCCTCTACTGCCTCATTATCGCCTTGCCCTCTGGTCTCGCGCTGAGTTTAGGGCCAGTCCGAGAAATCAGGTTCAGAAAGCTAAAAATTTTGCTGGAAGAAGTGCAAAATAGATAAATCTCTCGGAAATGGGCACGACTTGTGTCTCATATCTCGCCAGTTGCATTTCTTTTACAGTTGAAAACCTCATAAATTTGTGGTCCTTCCCGTTTGTTCGCCATTCTGTTACATCTTGGTCGACATTGCTTTGAATCACTGGAATTGTCCTGCAGGGCAATTTTTAATGGGGTTTAATCACTAAGAGGAAAGTAGACAATGTTTATAAATGAATCCGCAATTTTTAAATGTAAACATTCCAGAAGATTCCCAGGGAATTGTCGTTACAAGAGTCCCGTTTGCTATAAAATAGTAGGGTTGAAATTTTTGTTGTTTAGTAGTTAGTGCTTGAGACTGTTCCATCCCTCTACCTACCCTTACTTCCCCACTGCCCTTCTACTCTTCTTCGGGTACCCCTCCAGCGCCGTTCTGAGGGGTTAAGGTGGATAGGTAGGGAAAGGGTACGGAGCAGTGTTTCTTCGAAATATCTATCATTTTAACACGCATGGCTCACTAAGAAAAGGGCTAGAAGTTTTTGCTAATGAATTTGGGAAAGTAAAAAAAAGGGAAAAGGAGAGAGAATCAGTTTTTGTGGTAACTGAAGAACAGCGTTAAAAACCCCAAGGGTTTAGAGGCAGGTAGAGAGGTGTTTATGTTCATTATAGATTAATATTACTTGATTGTATTTATTATTAAATACTTTTAATAACATTATATAAAAGGGGAAAAAGGAAGAAAATGCTGATCTTGAAGTTGAACACCTTGAGAATCTGGTTGAGCCTCTTGAGTTCAGATGAAGTAAATGGGCAAGTTGTGAAGTGGATCTGAAAGGGATTTTTCCCTCTGTCAATTTTATATCTATGAAACGTTTGATTGACTAAAGCTGGTATACAAAAGTTGTCATTATTTGTTTTTATTCCGGAAAGCAGTAAATAAGCAAAACCCGATAACCAGCTGATTTCTCTCTCTCTACATACATAAGCAATGCAATCGTAAATTACCATGACAATACTACTGATCATTTCAGCGGAAGAGCCCTCATTTACCCATTGTTTACAGAGTGGTTTTGTTAACGCCTTCAACTCTGACTCTTTGCTCTTGCAGTTTAGAATATCCTGGCCTATTAAAGTACACAGCTCTTCTTTGGTCAGAGTATATCAGTTAGAAGAACTTTGCAGAGGTGGAATTCTTCTCGAAATTCGCAAACCATAAACGCTCAGAATCCCTTTGAAGCTCGTCGTGTTATCGTGGACACGATTGACGTTAATTTACACTCTATAAGTTCATTATCCCGGATTATGACCAGTATGACGGAGCGGTAGGGTATGTGACGGATCAGTGGGTGAAGTGGGTTCTCGAGGTCGATGCAGAGGCAAAGCGAAACGAACAGTTGCTTTCGAGACGCTCATACGCGGCTGTCCTCGTCATTCGGTACTCTGAGAGGTCGAACGAAGCTGGAGGAGGGACGAAGGCGATGGACGGAGCGATGGAAAGAGTGGTTTGTGGCCGCCTCTAGCCTAACCAACCACTTGGATCGTCACCCGTCTTACTTCCCTCTCTGATCGGCTGGCTGATGATCAATCTTATGGCCGATTTTCCGTTAGTTCGCCGTTCTACTATGAGGGCGATCACCTCAACTCGTCGAACATCGCAACTGTTCCTATCCGTTAATGTGGTCGGCCCCATACGCTATTAAATTGCTATTCGCTCGATTGTGTTTGTTTACAGTGTTTACTGCCATGGCTACACTGCTGATATATCTCACATTTCTGAGGTTTAAGTGTTTTTATACGACCATGTAGAACATGGCTGTCCTTCTCCATAGATTATTATTTTGATTAGTAAAAGAAGTTAACTTGTTAGATTGTTTGAATACATGTAATTTGATTTTTGAAGGCAACCTATAACTTATTAGTTTTTTTTTACAACGGAACTAAAACCTTTTCGGATACATGTGCTAATATACCATCACGAGTAATAGCTAAATGCTGTGTATTTATTTTGTTTACTTGTTGCCCCTTTGTGTGCACTAAATTCCTTTTATGATGTAAAATTTAAATTTAACTTTTCATTGCTATTATTATCATCATTGTCATCCCCAGACTGCCTGTTTATACTTACCTTTCAAAGGCGGCACTCGCCCTCATGCTGTAGCTTGCGATTCTCACCTTCGTTGACCCGACATTATGACGATGGGGGCTCTCAGTTGGAGGGAACCGCTGGTATCACTGAAGTGGGCAGTATTTAGAGTATTCAGAGTAATATAGCAGAAGAATCTTCCGGAACTTTTGTTTAACAGAATTGGCTTTCACTAAGAAGTTTCAATCAATATGTATAGTTCACATTATGCCTCAAAATTTATTCCTTATCTCCAGCTGTCCAGCTGCGGTCGGTGCTTAGTCACGACAGCTTGTCACAATCGGACGGATCTACTCTAGACATACTAAACTGTAATCAATCATAATCTGCCAACAATCGCCTTCCTTACCCCTCCCTATTACTGGATATCCGATGTCGTGCTCGTATTTTATTGAATCTTAGGCGCCTCAACTGAATGGATACAAATTGATTATATGGCGTGATCCCGAAAATCGATTTCCTCGATTCTTTTCCGCCTTACATGTGTTATGAGGCTTCTTTTCAGACTAGCTCTTAGTTGTTCAGTCTACTATGCAATGATTTTGGTGCTATCGCTGCTTTTTTCACTTATAATCACATCAAAAGCTGGTTTTCGAGAAGTTCCTATTAATCAGTCTATACTACTTGGACGAGATGTCACATTCAGATGTGCAGCTGAAAAATCAACATCGGGTACCGAACTGTAAGTATTAACATTTATCTACACTTCCGATTCATTGTAATGCCAGTTTTCCGAATGTTTTATACGGGACAACTGCTCGTTGAAGTGAAAAAATGATGACTTGTTTTCTCTCTTCCCTTGAAAAAAAAAATCTGGCTCCCCAATCCTCCGGGGACCGATAGCCCTTTTTTCCTCTTTGTTTTATTCAATCATCGAGAAAAGGGGAATGGAATCGGAAAATCTAGGGGAACAAAATTTTAAAAACTGATTTTTACAGTTTCGAAATTTTCAGGTACAGCCAATGGCGCAGTAACACCGGAGTTTTGTTAGGATTTTATGATACCGGCACTTTAGCTGGGCATCAGGGCCGTTACAGTTACCTCAAAGTAAGCCATTAAAATCAGGCCCGTTCTTATTTATGTTTCTTCTGGTAAATCGATACAACCCCATTGTTTTCCTTTTCTTTTTTTCTCCTTTTTTTCTTCTATTTTGTGGTTCTCCCTTCTATTACTGCCCTTTGACTTTGCCATCATACCTTGCAAGCCCTTTAACTCGTTCAGTACTCCCGAGAGGAGCTGCACCTTCGAATTGAACGGGTGACATTGGATGATGACGGCCAATTTGAATGCCAAATGCTTCGACCGGAAGAGGGTCCGATACGGGCTTCTGCCTACTTGACCGTCATTGGCAAGTTCTTTTGAGGCTATCAAAAGTAATAGTTACAAGTAACAGTTCCTTTCAGTTCCACCGAAAATCGTTCACTTCACAAATTATCAATCCGGAGCCGTTGTCGATGTAAAAGAGGAGATCCCACTGAATGTAACTTGCGAATCACCGAATGCTAAACCAGAGGCTACCCTTACTTGGTACCACATAACAAGTAACTCTTTTTGATCCTCATATCAGAGATACTCTCCTTGTAGGTACATCAACGGCCGAAAAATCGAGGAAGGTGTTCAGCGATGGGCAAATTACAATTTGAACAAAACAGTAACCAGTTATGCAGCATTACAATGGCGTCCAAGGTGAGCACTTCGCTCTGGGGCTGTTTTTTATAGATTGATGTTTCTTTTTCAGACGGATCGATCACAAAAAAGTGCTGACATGTGAGGCAGCTCAGGAGGACAGTGGGACTCAGATTCGTACCAATCTTACACTGAACGTGCTCTGTGAGTTGCTCTTGCTCACTACTACCATCATCAATACCCACTTCGTTATTCATGACCTCATAATCACTGCTTTGGCACCCTTTCATCTGGCTGTTCCGCCTCATAAATATCCTTCTTTACGGCGTTATTTTCAAGCCAACCAAGTTAATTTATTCATTCGATGTGATGTTCCCTTTGCGTCGGCGATCGCGTCCGATAGAAGCCGGGAGCCAGCCACTTCATGGCTGCCGCTGTTTCCGCTGTTAGCCGGGACTCCAATAGTTTTCGTATGCAGATTTCGGCTATTCATCAAGGCCTTTTCGCTTTCGCAGAAGCCGCACTATGATATAGGGCCACGACTGGGCACAACTGCCGCCGTGGCGCCAGATGGCCCACGAATACCTGCGCGCTATACTGCTCCGCTGGGAACAGGCCCATACACTGGTGTGGTGCATGATTAGGAAGAACTCAAAAACAACTCAATTAATGACCCTTTGTCACTTCTTCTTGGGCTCTGCTTCTTGGGCGGAGACCTATGCCAGCCGAGGCGTTTTTACCCCTTTGTGACAGTAACCATGNTTATTATCGAAAAAACCCCTCTTCTGGCTCTTAGATAAGCTGGCCTGACTTCAAAGACTGGCATTGTTAGCTGGGACCATGCCAAGAATTGACCAAAAATAGCCCTCAGTGTGGTTCGCTGGGACCAATTCGTGGAAGGCCAAAATGTTAGGATTATCAGCTGAGGCACCTTCTGGGCCCTTTACCTCGTTTGGTTGTCAAAAGTAACAACTTCAGTAATCATCCCTCTTGAGCAGTGCAGCTGTACGGGTCCGATAATGACAGCAAAAATAAAATCACCACTTTGTGGAATTGACGCGGATTCACCTTAAGATTTTCTGGGTGCTAAGGCACTAGTTATACCAGTAATCCTGTACAGGTTAGAGCAGTCATCCTACATTTATTTTTATGTGTAGTTCGAATACTGGGGCGTTTATAGTAGTATTGAACCCTGTGACTAAAGTAAGTATGCAAGAACTCGAGAGTTATATAAGGCCGTCTGGCTAGATGATCATGAAGTTCCCTGTAGCTGCAAGCGACCCCGTATCTTCCTGCACGTTTTACCTTCGAGTATACAAGATTATCAGAAGGTATCTCCAGCAGGCCCAGACATCCCAAAATTAAATTGGTATTCTCGCAACATTTCAGATCCCTCCGATCGACCAAGAGTATCGATGTTGAACGGTGATTCGTATGTACGGGCTGGTGACAATGTGACGTTGATGTGTGTGGTTTTTGGTGGTAACCCACCACCGGATGTCTCTTGGTACCTGAGAGATCGCCTCCTCAGCGCTCGATATCACTATGATGTTCAAACAGAGGTAAATCAAACTGTTTTCTACTTGTGTCTCACCACCACCACATGTGGTCTGTGTGGCCCATTTGGATGGGGGACAATATTAGGCCGTTTCCACATTACACTACGACGTTCCCACCTGCTAACGTGTCAATCACGGTGTTGCTTCGCGCCTCATTATTTGGCTCTAGGGTCACGAAAAACGACCATTAATACGGTTAGTGTTATCCTGAATAGATTTTCTCAATGGCCTATTGAATTGGAGTTATTTATCCCTGGTTGAATAGTGGCAGATGGGTAGACGAATGTCTCTGCGGAGTATAAAGGCTCGAGTTCAAACATGTTGGGGAGGGAACTCGGAGGCGTTCTCCTCACAAGGAGCTCGGGCAAACATCAGCTACCTCTATCTCGTACATACATAAATTACACATGTAGATGATTCTTCATTGCCTGTGTACTGAAAGACATCCTTGAAGGTACCAACATAGAGGTGGAATCTGTAGGAGGAGGTTACAAACTGTTCTAGTCTTGAGCCGTTGGCAAACTGGAATGCCCCAGAGAAGCTTAGATACAAATGCTTGGTTTTTACCAAGTCCACTAGAATCGGATAGTGGATAGGCCTGTTAGTCCCTCAGACTTACCCTGACTATCAGCTGAAATCTGGTAAAGGGTAACCCCAAGCCTACAGGTATACCAAACCTAATTCTACGGTCACCGAAATAGCGACCTCCGGGCTACCTTCCAATTCGCTTTCCTATGCCAGTCTACAGTCACTCAATTCTGCCCACCTCAGATGCAAACAGTTTTCTTGCTATTCTAGCTCGTTCTATCGAAATGGTCCCTTGAAAAATTTCCATGATCGCCTTATTAGCCGCTGGCGGGATTCTTTCTAGAAGGGAATCCCTCATATAGGGGTGAAGTGGACACCTGGAGAATCACAACAGAATAGGTGACAGATGGCTTCAAAAAGTCTTTGAACTGTTCGCTACGGCGGGGAGTATAGTCATTATTTCCGTAGATATCGTTTGAATCGCCTATTAAGCAGAAACCGCTGCCCTGAATGCACGTTGGTGTCCTGAACGCCTGAAGTCGGGTTTGACTGAAAGTGTTTGGGAGAGTTATTTGTCAAGCGACGAGTCAATGCCCCATATGTGAAGCTCAAGATGGGCCGATGGGAGTGTTCCCCGGGGACTGTCTTGAATACGAAGCCGTAAAATATGGATTCAAAAGTATTTGCCGACAAGGGATCGCTTGTCGCTTAGCGCTTCAGCGCATCATTGGGATGGGCATGAAGGAGGTGGTCGTTCTTCTCTAAGCTCTAAGATCATTCAGTAATCGATTATCATAAGGGATTGCGTATATTTGCTTATTTAATCATGCATGAACATTAGCTACGCGCTGATGTCTCCCAAAATTCACTAGCTCCTTCTCTGAACCATCTTATCTTGGCGGTTTTTAAGGGACTGTATCTAAGGGCCGTAGGGCTTTCCCCATAGGGTCTTATTCACGCAGTAGTTGATGTGACAATCACTAACAACGAGCGTTTTCAAGTAGCAATACCGAAAACAATCGATATTTCTATACCTGTCTAGGCTTTTGCATGCGAGTATGTCCTAAGGACGCGTGCCATTTCACAGTTGAGCCAAAAAAGTGTGGGTGTAATTTCAACTAAGGAGTAACGATATCTACTCACGCAATCCTCAGATAGCAGTATTGTAGCAGTTTTGTGACTGTAATATAGCATGAAATTTGGCGCTTTTTCATGTTTGAAAAAGGATTTCATGGTTTTTGTCCTCTTTCCCTTCCTAAACTCACTTTGTACTGTGACGGCGGCTTGTTTATTTGCTACTAGTTGTGGCCGTAGTTTGTATAGATAAATAAATAAATGGAAACATGCGTTGTAAGTCTGCCAAATCCTATCTATAACTACCATCTCCTTCAAGAGAACAGTGCGATTCACGATAGAGCAGGCACGTTTATTGATCGACCTGCACGATTCTACAGTATCCCAATGGGCTGACAAGCAGAAATCCTGGTTTTTCAATTTGCTAATAATGTTTTCATTCCCAGTTTCTTAGACACTTACGAATTTTTAGACTTTTGTCTGATTTCTGGCAACATTTGAAACAGCCCTTTTCAGGAGACGAAGAACACATACTCGTTCCTTGCCGAACCTGAGGATAATCTGGCTGACTATGAATGCCGTGCGGTGAATAGGGGTGGTCATGAGCCACAGACACGTACGATTCATATCAAAGTGGCTTGTAAGCGGCTATGTTACATTGACTAGATAATAGGGACGTAATGAAGACAAATGGTTGTTACAACTAATCGCTAGTCCGACTCATTCAGATGCGCCACAAGGAGTGGAAGTGCTCGGCGAAAGCAATATACGACAAGGAAGTTCAACCATGGTCCAGTGCAGAACAAAGTATACAAATTTACCTTTATTCAAAAAGTTTGAAGTAGCTGTAAAGCTTGTAGCACAAGTAAAAAGGGGTAACGCTTAAACGTTTTTTGGTTTTCTCGTGAAAGAAAGGCTAGCTTGATTAGGTCGGTGCAGAACCTCATGGTTGAAAGGAGTGAAGTAAGGGTTGGGAAGGGAGTGTCGAGGGAGTTTTTTTCTGACCCGTGGAGTTTTGCTTTCGGTTTCACAGTTTATAGATAAAGCAATGATAATTTTAAGAGTTTAAATCAAGTTACAATCCTACTGGTTAGACCGGTAACTGCCCAGGTAGTACTCATTTTTGTGGATCCTCCTTTAGGAACGCAAAAGAGTAAATGGTCTAGAGGCAGCTCAAGTCCTATTTTTGCACGTTTAGCTGTCTTTATTATTCTCTCAAGTTTTCTGGTGACATTTTTTCTAGGACCCATTCCATTTTTTCTCCCTGCCGTTCGTTTCCGTCCTTTCCAAAGGCCATGGTTTTTTTTTTTTTGAAAAAGGAATTAGACGAACGTATAACCTGCTAAACTGTCCTCAAATTTCGCTCGTCCTGAAGAGTTTGCGCAGCTGTCGGATGACTGAATCCAATTAATTACTTGGCCAAACGTCCTTTCTTCTGCAGTCCTCGATCCATTCGAGGATGGATGCACAACCCCAAACCCTAATTACCTAATTGGCGGCCCGCGCACCTCGTTACATCACCGAACAACCGTGAGATGTGTGGATTTGCCCAGCTGCTAACTGACTTCCAGAAGAGATATGATTGATGTGAATTGGGTGGGGATAGTAACTGAATAACTACAAAGTATCGATTAGACATGTTACCAGTTGAGGAAGGACGAAATTGTCTGTGTTTACAGGCCATCAAATCCTGTGTCGCGGATCTCGTGGCTTGTCAATGGACATCCGATACCGGCAACTATTCAAAGTGAACACCAACAGGTAAACAAACTGAATAGGTTCAGGACAAACACTCTCTACCTTGTCATAAAAAACAAAAATCATATTTACTTGTAGCTCTGCAAGGATAATGGTAGCAGGTGTAGTTGACTGCAGCTGAAGACCCTATTTTTGCAATGTTCTACGACTTTGTTAGGGAACTGTTACTCCTTAGGCCCTTATGAGGTTGAGCTAGCACTCTCCCACTCGTGCGTTTTAGCTTGTATAGCTATATAGTGATGGCCCGGTGACAAGTCGTTGCAATTGCTAGCTAGTTGTCTCACCACCCTGGATGATGTTCGGGATTTCCGCACGCCTCCCGTATATGGATCTCATGCGATAGATGGTGCTGAGTAGTAAGTGCTCCTACCGATGGGTTTGAGACCGAATTATATAAATGTTCTGCCTAAAACTTTGCCGAAGACCTTAGCTTTATTCATATCGAATAATTCTCTTTTTGAAAACCTGATGTCTTTTTTTAAAAGTCAATATCTTTTTCAGCCTTATGGAACGATGTCGATTTCTAATATAACTGTAAACACGAATGAAATTATAATGGGTAAACATCGCGTGACTGTAGAATGTAATGCCAGAAATGACGAAGGGACAGCTTCTGAACAGCATGTGATCAAAATTCTTGGTAAGCTTTTCGTGACAGGACCTCACCAGCGTTCAGTATTCAAATTTTTGATTCAGCTCCCCCATTACCTCCACGGATCACTGGTCTCGAGGAAGGCATACATTTGGAAGGACTTGTACTTAACTTGACTTGTGAAGCTCATGGTGGTAATCCATTGGCTGATATTTCGTGGTTCAGAGGATACGATAAGGTAAGCTCTACCTTGTTTCACGGAAATACGAGAATTGTGAAAAATATCTGAAAATTCATATATTTGAGCGTATTGCAAAAGGAAAGAGGAGACCACGATGGTCGAAGGTAAGCTTCCCAGAAAGTTCCAGTGGTGGTAGTCCTGTGTTGTTATGTAGTGTAGATGTTGTGAAAAAACAAGTGGTTCAAGTACTCGCTAGTTGAGAATTCGCCTTTTGATGACCTCTTTATTAGCTTATCACTATAAATGGTCTACGCAACAGATATGCGGCNCGGTAGGCGGTGCGTGTCCCTCGGCAAATCGATCAATATATTAAAGGCGCGCCAATGCGGACACTACATAAAAACGCGCTAATACGGTACTACAGAACTTTGCAGAAAGCTGCTTGCTTTAAAAAGTGTATAACCGGACCTATTCACCACCACTTTACACTGGTCTTACTTTTATACATACTGGTATTCCATTAAGCTCTTCCTGAACTTTCTCAATTCTTACACTCATCTTGCTCTGCCACATACTCAAATACCAGTATGTACCAGTACAAGCCCTTCAGTAGTCCTTTTTTGCTCGTGTTGATGGAAAGTTTTCTGGTTACAGTAATGTGTAAAAAGTGATTTCGAATGGTTTTCAGCTTCCTGGTGCTCGGTCGTCAGTATCCGGTGACTCGGCCATCTCGGCTGTTTCGATTACCCTCGACCGAACTATGAACGCTCAGCGTATCAAATGCGAAGCCATGAATTCTGCTCTTGACGAACCTCTTGTGGATTCCAAACAAATATCAGTTCTTTGTAAGTATTCACCTAGCATCTGTTATTTGTTAAAGTTTGGCTATTCGTTAAAAACCCATAGCAACCTCCCAGACCCGCGGAAAAACTCCAAATGACAATTTTTTGATTTTTGTGGAAGTATTTCCAGAAAGGTGCAAAGTTATCCCAGTAAGGGGTTGGGTAAGAAGTTGAAGAGGGTATCAAGAGCTTGGAGGAAATGGGTTAGATCGAATAGAGAAACGATTGTCGAATTCCATAGTTTCGCCAAAATAAACAGTAAAGTTTGGCAGTGTTCCGACGGCCCGTGGTATTAGTTTATACATCTACTACTTTTACATTCTACTTTTGTAATCCTACAGCCAGTAATGAACTTGTTGCAGTTCAACCGAGGCGAGTGATAATCCGAACGCCTGAGGGCACACGGCACCAGCTTTTAGCCGGCGAGGAAGCAAAGCTGCATTGCTTGGCCGCCGGATCGAATCCACCTTCTCATATCATGTGGAATTTCCATCCAAATGGTGAACCAAGCCCGTTGGTGTTCACCGGAGAGACAATACTGAATGAGACGTAAGGAATTGATTTTTGTCGGGTAATTAGGCTTAAGTAGAGTAATTGACATAGCAATCAGTCAGCCATTTGATGAGAGCATGGCGCAACTTCTTATCTTGTACAGGTCACGTGATGGCGGTCATACCATTGAGAATGCAGTTACTTTTACACCGACCGAAGAATATGACGGAACACTTGTGCGATGTATTGCTAGCAATCCGTTATGGCCAACCTCAAAGAACATCACATATCCGCTAAATGTCCTCTGTAAGTCGATCCATTTCGCTTAATCTTTCTTATTTCTCGTATTACTTAGTGGTATGTAGGGCTTGATAATCCTTAATCGTATCCAGTTCAGATCCGCCTCGATTACTGGTAAACAGTCCAATCAGTATAGTTGTGGCTGAAGGGGATTCGTTCCGTGAGAATCTCACCGTCAAAGGAAATCCACCAGTGTCTGCATGGCGATGGCGTAAAAACGGCATACCATTCGATCATACCATTGGAAACGTATTTGCACGTGGAGCAACACTTTCTGGACGTATCGTGAAGGTCAGGGAGTATTAATCAATTTTGATTGTCACGCTCGTGTTTCGTTTTCCGACTTCCGGATTTCGCTGGGCTGACCATTTCTTTATCTTTCCATTTTGAGCTCGCTTATATAAACAGAACGATGCAGATAGGCATAGACAGGCGGTTTCACTGATGCATTGCCATTGACTATTTAGTTATCTACTAGTATTGGTAGCACTAAATACCACTAGGTACTTACTGGCTATTCTCGGCTTTTTTCTATTTATTTATTTTAGAGCTCTGATGCCGGAATGTACACTTTATTCGCCGTAAACAGCGTTGGAACTGCTAATGTAACAATTCAACTTACTGTGGAGTACAGCGCCCGGGTCAGTGCTACATTTTGCTGAACTTAACTGCTTCAATCTCTTGAATCCCATTTATTCCATTGGGATTTTTTTTTGTTCCAATATTTCCACTGGTTTGTGTTCAAGTGAATGGGCCATGGTCTCGATAACCATCACCTTTTAAATGATCTGATTGTTACCTGAGATGCTTTCAGATTACTAGTATCTCATCTCCGATAATTGCATCAGAAGGAGAGGTAGTGGTGTTGGAATGTGAAGCGGACGGTGAACCTCGTAAGCCAAATATGGTTCGATGGGTAAGGAACGGAGAAGAGGTGGGTGTGAAAGAAAGATCGATAAACCTCTCTTACAAGTACCGTCATAGCCGTATTGATCCAGTACAGTACTACCAAGTGCAACTACACGTCAAGTCCTAAGAAGTCTTTTTCAGATTCCCGCCATACGAAAAAGTGAGACTCATGTTACATTGCGACTAAACGCCACCAAAGAAGCTGCTGGGCAATACGTTTGTCGAGCAGACAACGGTATCGGATTTCCTGGTGAAGGAACAGCCTACCTGTTGGTGAACACTGCACCAAAGATCATGATGTTACCGTTTCTTTCACGAGCTGCAGGACCTCTAGGTACAGTCATTGAAGGTTTATCGATCTTTATCCGATTTTTGAAAAGGTTTCGCTCGATTAAAATAAACAAAACCAATAACTTGTAGCTACAGTAATGCTCGATAAGGCCTAGTTGTCATTGTATAGTAAGGTAGAGTCAATAGTCTTCTCTAACCGTGAAGAAAAATCTATTATATATTATACAGTATAGTATGGAGAACGTAAATATGTCTTGTACACAATCAATATTTTAATAGTATGGTAGTAAAGTGGTAATCTTTGTATTATCTCTCTACAGCCACGGTACTAACAGACATAGCTCATGTGTGTAGAAGTTTTGGAGCTCATCTTGTCGAAAGGGAATCAGGTCGACTGTCAGATAAAAATAGTTTTCTGCAGGAGGTCGTGCTCGGGCTCGATGTCGTGCTCATGCTGTCCCAGATGCAGATTTTGTTTGGGATCGTGCAGGCGAAGTCATTCAGGGTAATAACTCGAAATACGGGATGTTCGCTATACAACTAGACTACTCGACTTTCGAAGTAAATTTTTACTCCGTACTTCTCTGTTCTTAATTTTCTTATATGTTTACATGAATTGTTTCAGAGCACTTTGTGGATAAGTAACTTATCACCTGACGATTATGCAAACGATATCAGATGTACGGCTAGAAATAGTTTCGGAACTGACAGCATTCATATACCGGTCAGTACAAAATCCATAATTAATGTTGGATGCTACTTCCTGAGCACTGTGTGGGCGGTGCTTAAATGACCTTGGCGGAGACACTGTTGGTGTTTCGTCTACTGAAGAAGAAGGTTTTCCAGGGGTCAGCGCAAAGGGCTCAGCCACTTGCTCAGCCTGCCTATCACATAGCGCGTTCATGACCGTGTGCGTCTGAGGCTGATCCCTGTAACCAGCACAGGAGTAATAGGCACCTCACCGACCCATTGCTCCCTTTCAAACTTCCATAAGTCTTACCTGACAAACTGATTAGTACTGGCTACCCTCATCGGTTGCTACCCGCTTTTCCTTAACAGAAAATCAAAAATGATGCTTACAACGACTAAAAGTCATGCTGCACAGATTTATGACACCGCTTTACGCTTTATTAAGTCGCGCATGTCACATTCTCCCTAGGGGGAGGCGAAGAAGACGATGAAGCAGCATAAAGGCACTAAATTTTCCCCGTTCTCTCGTAAAGGGGAACGATCAGGGATATACCGCACATCATTGACTGCGGGTACGACTGCGACGGTGGTAATTCGATGGCTGAAAAATATAACGTTTCACTTCTAGTGAACCATGGATTTTTCTGGGCCTCGCTCATTTTGGGGCCCTTTTTAATAGGCAAGTTCAAGCTGCTTTCCGTTCAAACCTCTCTTCAGAAGATCTCATATTACTCGGCTATCCAAAAACCCAGCCAGCTACCAGTAGACCAACAGACCACAGCGTAATTTTAATAATTTGTCCCTAGGCGGGTGCATGGCCCAAACAGGCCTCCTCTCGATTTCCGAATTTTTTGATCCTTTCTAATATATTGATCACATATCCAACTTTCTCGATTCTAGATCGGTCCACCGAGTCCACCAGATGCTCCGCTCGATATCCACGTCACAAACGCCACCTCGAATACCATTTCAATATCGTGGACCCCTGGCTTCGATGGCGGCTCAGACCAGACCTTTGAGGTGCGATATCAGAAGGATGGGGAGGAAGGAATGCATGGCGTAAACACTTCACATTCGGTTCGTTTCTTTTTCTTCTGTTGTGCAAAATTACCTGGTCATGACAAACTCTCTAGAATCTTCGATTATCTGGACTAGCACCTTCGTCGATATACCTATTCCAACTGCGTTCCATCAATAGCCGAGGGTTCAGCTCTGATCTGACCCGACCACCGGCAGCGTTTGCTACTTTGAGTGAAGACGGTATGGGTGTTGCTGTAATGTCTGGGAGGGTGAGTTTCTATTTCCAAGCTCAGGTAGTCTTTACTTTTCAAATTTTAATTGATTTTTGGTGAGACTGTCGCTTTAGAAGGAAACGATCCCGCGTCCAGTGATTATGCTGCTCGCCATTGGAGGAACTTTACTTCTGCTATTCAACTGCCTTCTTCTTTGTTATTTGCAGCGACGTAACAAGAAAAAGAAGATACAGGGTAAGTCAAGGGNATGGGTGTTGCTGTTATGTCTGGAAGGGTGAGTTTCTATTTACAAGCTCAGGTGGTCCAACTTTTCAAATTTTATTGATTTTTGGAAAGATCGTCGTTTTCAGAAAGAAACGATTCCGCGTCCAGTGATTATGCTGCTCGCCATCGGAGGAACTTTACTTCTGCTATTCAACTGCCTTCTTCTTTGTTATTTGCAGCGACGTAACAAGAAAAAGAAGATACAGGGTAAGTCAAGGGTTATTAGTAAACTTTAGTAATTATAAGGTGGTAATGCTAATGGGAAATAATGATTAGCCTTGATTATAATCAAGAGTTACTGTATTACCTGTCGTCTCGTTAACAATCGATTTTCTCGAGTGGAGGCCACTAACGTTGTCCATCCGTCCCTTTCGCGAACCCCAATGGTCCAATGGATCGTCGTCGCTCAAGAGACAAAGGTCATAGCATCCCCTTCGCTCAGAGTTTCCTTCGAATCCTGGTGTTCCTTTGAAGTTCTGAGTTCTCCACTCAACAACCTAAATAATAGAGTCATTACAATTCGCATATTTGTCCGGCCCATTTGATCAAAATATATCAAATAGTAATAAATAAACAAATGGTGTGAATGGTTTGTTTAAATATATTTAATATTTTTAGAAAAGACTGAGATGGTACGAACGGCCATCAACGGTGAGGGTGTTCGACCGGTGCAAATGTACGGCACGATGCTGCAGGTAGGGGAAACCCTTACAAGTCATATGACTGATCCAGTATACCAGTTTCTTATCGGATACTCCTCCAAAAATGCATTACACCATACTTTGTATATCCCCCATCAGGAAGCCCCACTTTTACACATGAAGGCGAAGTTTGCATGTTACTGTTACTGCTTCCAGTCCGAAGGAGCTGTTCGATGTGAACGTGACGAGCATGATATCCCTGAGGCGAGTGAGGATGACCACAGTGTACGCACAATGATTGTAAGTATACTTTCAATGTAGTAAGGACCTCCATCTGTACTGTCCCCATGAGACGTTTTTCAGGAAGTAAATCCCAACGGCTATATGCAGCAGATCGATCCATCACTGTATGAACGAAACTGCCTTGTCGAATATGAATACGATCGTGAGTAATTACTCCGGATCAATCTGATTGATTAGTTCCAAAGCCGATCTTGATTTATTGGATTTTTTTCAGCTCGCGACTATCCAAGCAGTAGACACGGAACAATGAGCAGAAGTGGAACTGGCACCTACACCAATATGCCTTATCCTGTAAGTAATCATGAGAGACCGGGGAGAAATTTGAATTTTTTTCGAGTTTTTAATGAAGCGCCTAGAACAAAAAAAAGTACATAACAAACTAAAAAGTAACGTAAGGTAACCATATTGTTTTACCTCTTCAATATACCTATTGATTTTTGCCGCTATCTCTACGATTGGTGGGTGCTGAAATCCACCAATCGCAGTTGAACGTGAAAGACAATACATATCACCCCTATCTGAGCAACTCTCTTGAAAGGCTTTATCCCAAGTAATTTTTTTTTTGACTTTTTGGTTGTTTTTTCACAAAACAGAGCTTTCGAGTTGAAAATTTCAATTTCGTCGTTTTCATTTAAAGGAACCGCCACACGACCCATCAATGTATTTGGACCGCTCCATTTCTCGACGTCATCATTACATTCCAAACAACAACAACATCAACAACAACAATAACAGCCCTCAACATCTCCTATCAACCTTCATTCAACCTACTGGAGTACGCCCCGGACCCCTCTCCTACTCGCAACTCGATGGCGATTTGGTATAGCTCAAACAGTTCGCACTCGGTTCAGAGCGATCTCCACGTCTTCGAGACGTCCTAACTAGTCGAGGATTGTTGGAGGCTCCTCTAAGTATTACTGCCTGTGATATATGAGTAAATTTTGTTGATTACCATTACATTTTCCCCATCATAGTAAATATAGAGAATATTTCCAACGGGTTCATATAGACGCAGAGTGAAAGTCAGATTTGACTTGTGAAGAATCGCATTTGTTATGCCATTGTTTCCAGCCTCTTCTCATTTTCTTGCATGGGTAGAATGATCAACTTTGGCTCACTGTTTCTTGATGATGTTTTCATGTTTTGAGTTGAATTCTCAAAACGAATCCCCGTTTCACAGGTATCCTTTTCGTGTCAATGATCCCATTTTTGCCATTTACCTGTAAATCAAAAAGAAAATTGCTTTCTCATCTCACCATTGGTGCTTCGGAAGGTTTGCTTGAATATTTTGCTCAAATTTATTGTCCTAATTACTTGTAATAAATTGTATTTTTTATAGCTCAAATTGACACATTCTTACAATTTTTAGGAACCACGTCTGAATGGGCCTCGTCTCTTCTGAACTTTGATAAAGGGGTTTCCCATGAGTAGAGGCGGAAGCGGAAACGAATGAAATGGCATAGGTGAAAGGTGCAACCAATCCAAGGAACAAGTAAGGTGACTATAGGTGGGTACAAGTAAGAAGCAGTAGTAAGATGAGTGAAAGTCCAAGAATGGGAACATAGTCTAGAAGTAGTAATAATATAGTAAGTAGTAAGACTGACAAGGATTTGAGGATATGATATGTTGCGGGGGGGGACCCAAGTAAGGATTCTGTGACGAGCACTGTGCTGGTAATACGTCCAGGGCGGATTCTGTCCATTAGTCTCGAAGAAGTCTATACCTTTTGATATTTATCGATACCTTGTCGTTATGAATACATGTGAAAACACCGAAAAACCTTTCGAGGCGACCATCGTACGTTTCCTTATGTTTTAGCCTCTCGTTTTACTAGAAACAAAGTAATTACCGGTATGCTACGGTGAAGGGAACGTCTGGTCAACCTACTAGCGGGAGACTAAGTGGTCAGCGCTCTTGGCTGTTGAAGAGCAGGATCGACACCCATTCGGACATCCAGTTTCAGCTGTAATTTCGTAATCATCTCTCGACGAGAGCCCTTGCCAGAGGCTGAATTACACTTGTTGAAGTGAACGACTACGTTACTCCGTTACTGCTATTCTTACTGTCATGTGTGTATATCCGTAACCTAAAATGCTTACATATATTTGTATAATTCATGCTTTTCCACGATAAAGGCCCTTTGGCCCTTTTCTTTGGCCCAGCTATGCATAAATGCAGCCCGATTCCGTGTGAGCCTTGTGATGCACGGCCCACTCGTACACATCCGAGTACCTTCTCAATCCTCAAAGTTGTACACTCTCTGCTTCGTGGCTTGTTCCCCGGACCTGACAGACAGCTCAAATAACCAACCTACCATCACTTTACTCATTTGGTGGAGTCTGATAACCATTTTGGAAAGCAGTGTGCACTTTACGCTGGTACAACTTTCAGAAGTGTTTCCAAACGTAGTTTATCATCACTCACCCGTGTAACACGGTGGGCCGGTTGGCTGAAATTGGCGATGAACCAGTCAGTCTAAACGCTCCGATGGACTCAACGTGTTTCTGTCCAGTTGCCGTTTGACACCACTGTTTATTTCTTAGCCGCTTAAGAAAAAAAAGTATCGCAAATCAGACATTTCAGCTTTCAGAACTTCCCATTTTGTTAGATTTGGGGAAAGAAAGAACAGGGATCTTATTTTGGTAATTTATAACTCTGTTCATTCTAATAGGGCAATAATAAATGGCTCTGATTGTGTTAAAATTAAATAATTTTGAATTAATCAGAGTCCAAACCTTTCTTTAGGGTGTCTGATGGGCAGTTGCCACTTACTTGTCACTTCCATTCGAATTATGACTTGTTGATTCTATGTGAACCCTTAGAATTTCAATAATTCGCCTTAAACTACCCATCAGAAGTAAAAAAGGTCCATTAGGGTTGATGTCGTTCATGCTGAATTTCTCTGAGGCTTCTTTACCAGGTGATGGATGAATCCAAGCCATTAACTACTGACTGGCACTAGTTATGACGCCATTTGGATGATCGCCTAATAGGCCATCAGATGCCGCCGTCCATTGCTTTTGCAGTGGTGACGACACAGAAGGGGCTACACTGGAAGGTGGCCAACAAAGCCTATGAGGTGTTCCATCATGAGCTTAGGAACACCGGATTTAATCCACTCAAAAATTGGCGTAAAGCGATCAATGACTACATGATTCGGGTGGCAAAAACGAAGTGCAATCAACGAGAGTATAGGCCTATTACGTAGAGCAAATCAGTTTTTCTGAATACACATGGAAAATGGGGACTAGTCCGGGCAAGTAGAACCGCTAACACAAATACTTTCGTTGTTCGTTGTTTCAGGAAAAATTTGCGCTTTCTGGGTAGCACCTAATGGGGAGAGACATGTACAGCGAGGACAAAGACGACCTTTTGTTTTTTTTTCTCCTATACTTCTACGAGCATGACTGCTTGACTCCCTGACTTCTGAACGACGTTCAGCCCTTGCATAGAGCCCAGGACACGTATAGGAGCCCGGAACTGAGGATTTACGTTTTTTTCTTTCTGAAAGATTATTTTCGGTGTTGGCTCTGTCCTCGCTCTGTCCCACTCGCTTGAAATCCTTCCCTTTCCCGGGACGCAATCCTGCATTCAACTTGTAAAAACTAACTAGTAATCATATGGTTAGCTCTCTCTTAATAGTTCTAAAATTCGAGTTCAAACCAAATTGACATATGGTTCCCTGAAGTACTTTACTGCTGGTTGGAGACAGCAATTCCTTGGGTGCTTCACAAGTGCACGTCCTTTTACTACTCTGTAACAATGAAGTTCGTTAAGCCTGTGCAGCTGATTAGATATATACCATATGAGAATAACGACCGCAATCCATGAGTTCAGCCGTCGTCGTTATGAGGTGAGCAATCAACTCAGCAACTGAATGTCCACACACACTTGTTACCATAGAGATGCCTTTGGTCAAGCTCCGACAGCCCAAGGGGCCCCCTCAGCCGATCGCCGCTTCCCCACGGAACCCCCTGCCGTTATGACAGCATTACGGGACCAGCTAATACGGCTTAGTCGCGCTTACTTGTTACTCAATCGCTCATCGCATTGCTTTTCTTCTTGCCGCTTATCTGATTCTCTAGCCATTTACTGCTTAACGATTACTAACTGCTGAACAAATAGGAATTGTTTTGCTTTCTGATTGATTTGAATCAGATTCAATTGATATCACTGACTTTTTAAGATTAAAATTATTCATTTTTGTTTACTTCCTAGTAATTGGTTCACTGGTTTGAACATTTTCTTTTT